AAACACACACACACACACACACACACATTCAACATGCACACACGCACGCGCAAGCATGCACATACACACGTACACGCACACAACCGTCTATCCATCCATTTACACATTCTTCCATCCATCCATCCATTCACCCATCCATGTATACATCCATCCATATAAACATCCATCCATCCATATAAACATCCATCCATCCATCTAAACATCCATCCATGTAAACATCCATCCATATCCATCCATTTATCCATCCCTCTTAACCTGAAGAAACAGACAGCTATCGATAGAAGAGCGAGATGATCTCCCCTCTGGCTGTAGGTTCCGTGTGTTTACTGTTTGTGCGACATTTTTCCTCTACACATAAACTTTACCTGCAGTCTGTTCCCTCATTCCTATTCCTCCTCTTTCGTCTGGCTCTCTGTCTCTGTGTCCCTATGTCTCTCTGTCTCCCTCTGTCTGTCTGTCTTTCTGTCTGTCTCTGTTTGTCTGTCTCTAACTGTCTGTTTGTCATCCTGCCTGCCTGTCTGTCTCCCTGTTAGTCTGAATGTGTGTTTGTATGTTTGCCTGTCTGTCTGTCTGTATCTCTGACTAACTGTCTGTCTGTCTATCTGTTTGTCTGTCTATCTATTTATGAGTCTGCTTGTCTGTCTGTCCGTCCGTTTCGCCTCTCTCTCTCTCTCTCTCTCTCTCTCTCTCTCTCTCTCTCTCTCTCTCTCTCTCTCTCTCTCTCTCTCTCTCTCTCTCTCTCTCCCCCTCTTCCCTTTCTCAATTCTTCTTTCTGACACATATGCTGCTCTGTAGACTGTAAAGGATTACATCCACTTTATTTCAGGAACCACAACAACCCCCCCACCCTCCCCACACACACACTCACACATTTTCCGCAAAATCCCCACACGTAAGTCTTTGCAGGGCATCACAAATACATCCTATTTCTCTTCTTTCCCTCTGCAGTTTCTGTCAATCCGTCTTAGTTTTATATTGCACCAAATGACCATTATTGTGTAGCTGTGCTTCATTTTGCTCAGACAAACAAACCCCTCACTCTCTCGCCTGCCTTCCTCATCCTTGATTCCCCCTATCTTACCTCCCTCACCTGTACCTTCTCAAGGTGACTCGCAGAGACAACCCTGGAGGTGGGTGAGGGAGAGGAGGAAAGGGGGGGGGGGAGGGAAATACCCTTAGTATTTACATGTATTTGCATGTGTATACACGTTTTTCATTACCTTTTCCTGGGGCAAATTTTGACAAGACGAGATAACTTGGAGGGAGGTCAAGAATATCTGGGTTCCAAAGAGATCATACGATTCCCGCCCCTACCTTCGCCC